CACACACACACACACACACACACACACACACACACACACACACACACCCCATGGCACTTATGTTGCATATTCTAACCTCGCAGATTGATTCCCACAGCAGTGCTGCTGTGTCTGTGCACTTCTGTCCGACCATCCAAATGAGCTTGCCTATCTCTTTTTTTGAGGTGTGTGTGTGTGTGGGGTGGGGGGGGCAACGTTGAGTTTAGCAGGAATGTTCATCATGAGTACAGCATCTTAAAACAGGCATCAGCTTATAAGATGCCAAGCTGACTTTGTGTCTGGTAGCAAATGAGGTGAAAAGGGTGAATGTGAAGGCTGTTTAGTTGGATTAAAGCCTCTCAATGTAGAGAGCAACACTCTTAAAAAGCTCACTATGATTAAAAAAAGAGGAGTAGAGGGAGGGAGCGTTGGACAAAAGAAACCGAGTGAGTGGGAGAGAGAAAGAGGGAGTGAGTTTGAGATAGGAAAGCACTTCTTTCTTTCTGTACACAGAGCGACCTTGCCAACACTCAGCCTACTCTAATATTCACCACTACACATGCTTTTGTGCGCTGTTCCTTGCCCATCCAAGCACGCAAACCCTCCTCTTAATACACACACTACTCATTATACAATTTCAACTAGCCGGTTATCCAAGACTTGCACGAGCATTAACACGCTAACAAAGATTCAAAGACACACACACACAAACACCAAGATGTGTAATATGTTGAGGGGTGCAATGAATTCATTGTGCTGATTTAATTATAATTTGGTGCATTACTTCTCTTGTCTCTTTGTAAGACTTCTGTTGTTGCAGAAAGCTCAAAGGATGACTGCTGAATGTGTTTCTAAAGATGCGCATCAAAGGAGGCTGTTAACTTTCATGTCCTATATGAGATTTATCTGGAGAGGGATGCTCATTAGGATCTTTCCTCTCGTTGAGGTAAGCAGGTTGTTTCTGATATGAGTAAATGCTTGTGATTCACATTTCATATCTCTGCAACAGAGACATAAAATATTCCCATCATATCTCCAACAAAGCAAACTAACAAACAGAATTTATTCAAACTTTTGAACTAGAAATTAAGCTGAGGTGTAAAATTTTCTTACTTTTTGTCAAATAAATTAAAGTCATGAAACAATGTTTAGGAGACTTAAAACAAAAGTGATATAAAGATCCACTGTCAAGATTAAATACATGCTAAACACAGGCACACAAATACACGTATAGGCATGCGCGCACACACAAATTCACAGTGGGTGATGAAGCAAGCGTACACATCGTCCCCAAACAAACAGTCTGTGTAAGTGAGCGGACAACACCAGGCCATCAGATCACCCCCCTCTCCGAACACGAAGCCTTTAATAGATGTGAAACTCCAGGCCCCGGATCTTTTCACACCACTGAGTCGCAACTCACACAGAAGAACAGGAGGCAGAGGATGATGGAGCAAAAAAAAAAGTAAAACAATGACAGAGACTCCATACTCCATTTATGATGAGGGGATCAAGCAGAAATATAGCTGATTTGATTTGAGTCATACAAATCTTTCTACACTTGACATAAAATATGCTTGTCTGAGGGAAAACAAGATTCATAGGAATCCTCAGACTAACATATGGAGTAACCTTTGTGGCCTTCCGGGACTTGAGGGTGGTGGGGTGTGTGTGTGTGTGTGTGTGTGTGTGTGTGTGTGTGTGTGTGTGGGGGGGGGGGGGTTACACGGGAGGGGGTCTAACGCTCCGAGGACTGTAGGCACGCTAGGGAGAGGTGAGCTGTCACCCCCTGTTACGATCACTGCCTGTGCTCAGAAAGGGGGAGGGGTAGAAGGAGAGCAGGCAACAAAAAAATATATATACTGGTTCCTCACTAACCGCCATCTAAAGCCATCCGCGGGCCTCAGATCCCTCAGTCTACAACTGCCTCCTGGGAAACACTTGCACGCAAGTCCTCCTCATCCCTAGCTAGCGGTGGGGCATAATGTGTGTGTGGGGGTAAAGGGAGGGGTTTCTGTGTGTAGAGTTGGGCTGTGTAAGCAGAATGTATGGATTTTGCCTAACAAAAGGACAACTGTGCATGTTTTCTTACTTGCTTTAGAGTGAGATGTACTGACATGCAGTTAGGCTGGGTAAAGAAAAGGAAGTGATGCAGAGAGAGAGAGAGAGAGAGAGAGAGAGAGAGAGAGAGAGAGAGAGAGAGAGAGAGAGAGAGAGAGAGAGAGAGAGAGAGTGTATCTCAAGGCAAACCTTGTTGTTATTCAAATTTTAAAATGAGGGCAAAGAGAAGGCAAGAGGTACCTCAGGGGCTCAATGTGATAAGACTGCCAGCAGAGCTGCTTTTAAAAATCAATAACTGACAAAGTTTGTACACTTTGAAAAGACTGCAAAGTCCTTTAACTGATGTCAAGAACAGTAGTGGAACTGCATAATAAGCAATACTGTGAAGTCAGCGAGAACACAGCAAAGAGACGTGTTTTAGCTTATTATGTGACACACAACATGGTGCAATATTATATGCCAGCGGATAAGAAGCTTGCCTCAGATTTGACCTTTCGCTGCCTTTTGTGTGAGTTTGGGTGAGCACTGCTTAGGAGCATTCTGTTCCCCAGATCCCACTCCTAACACCCCTGTCACTCATCATCACTCATCATTGTTAGGGACAAAAGGAAAGTTTGGTTAAGCCACACACTGGAGTATTCACCCTCCCAGTGCCTCCCCCACTTCACACACTCACGTATGTTAGGTAGCGCACACACACACACACATTGACAAACGCACAAAGAAACTTGTTCTATTTTTGCAGCATAAACGCAAGACCACTGACTCAAACATGCACCTTAATTCTCAGACGGGGTCGCAAACTATTCGATGAAGTGCCAACAACTTGCCCTCTAACTTGCCTTTTGAAGTGCAGGCTTGTCCTTCAAATGGCCCCCTGACTCATCTGAGTGTAATTAAAGTCTATTCAGGGCGTCATGTGCGTCCTAACTATCCTCCATCATCTGGCCAGGCCTTTCAATAGCCACCTGTGAACTCTGAAGGACAGGGACACTTGCCCTCATAAAATACATGAGCACTACTACATTCAGTGGCCGGCCAGCTTCTCTCAATGGCCGACGCCACTTTAAACAACTCTGTGTTGACTGTTGGGTGAATCCTTTTTAAATACAACCATATTCACGGGAGCAGGGGTTAAGTAGCTCCCGTGATTAGCTGAAACAAATGCCTTTACGGTGTGCTTGGAGACAAAGAGAAAGAAAGAGGATCAAAACACCCAATTTGTTTTCATCACGCAAGGACTCATTGAGGGATTGATGACAGAGAAAGCATTCAGAAAAATGCTTGACCAGTGTCCAACTGGTCTGGCATCTGTAAGTCTACTTTTTCTTGTGCAATCCAATGAATGAAGTAAGCACACATATTCTTTTGGGAGGAGTCTGGAAATGATGGAGTCTTTACAATAAGACTGTCTCCTCATGTGGATCGGCTTCCCGAAGACTTAAGTCTCACGTTGTAGAAAGTCTGCTGCCTGCAACTCTTTCTGTGTTCACACATTTGGTGCTATATGTCGATGTAGCCAACCTCGTACTGCAAAAGTTGTTGTTGATAGTAAATCTTTATGTTTATGATTTTAGCTGGCTGCACTGAATAAAGTGTTCATTTCAAATGCAGAAGCCATGGAATCACCATGATCAATGGGCCTTTGACCAAATAACTATTTTACACAACATTAAACGATTTGTCAGTAATAAGTGATCTCAAATAGTGGCAAATACATCAAAGTATAAGTTTCACTCTCCTTAAACAAAGTAGGCTTTCTGGTCATATCTCTCAATGTGTAACAAGGATGTCCATTCAACTCAAGAAGAAGACACTTAACCAATTATATAACAAATATTTAGTAAAACAATCCCAAAAATGAGTGTACACATCATCTTGTTAGACACATTCATTTGTGTTTTCAAATGTGTTTAAATCACAGCAGCATAGCATACATAAACACTGAGCAGACACACAGAGAAATGCATACACACACTCCTCCTCCTGACCCCCCTAGGACACTGAGCAGTGAGTGTGGGAAAGTTATTTTTAGGACCCAAGCAGAGAGCCTTCCTGAGTTGGATGCTCCTGCTCCGGATCAACATTCCACCTTTGAACCACTCCGACCATGGAGCTGTTTGTGCTCATTGTGGCAATTTTGAACTTTCTCTGTGGACTAACAGAAGTGAGGGGACTTTTTCATTTTGGCTGGTTTAAAATTACACCATCCCAAAAAACAGGACAACTTCTACCTTTCGCCACCATTTATTCAAGTCTCAGCAATGATGTTAACAGGTTTTCAGTGCAATTGTAGATTGTTTATTGCACTGAACATCTAGCTTTTTGAAAACGTCTGCATGATTGCAAATGCACATGCCCTGTTCTGTGTAGGCTAAAATGCAGAGTGACTAACTATTTAATGTTAAATAAATACAGTGCATAAATTAAATGAAACACTCAGGGAATTTATTTTGGTTGCTGCATCACATGATTTCTAGTGTCTATTAACAAACAAGTCTAAGTATTATGTTTACACAACCAAAGAACAAAAGTAAAGAATGAATGATGCTTGACTGTGAGGAAAAGCAGTAGATGCTTTGCACAGGCTTTACAGTGAACCAGTCTTGTAAATAATGTTGTTTTCTTTAAAGAAGAAAAGTACAAGGACCTAAGGCAAAATTAGGAGATAACAATAAAATGATTCAGAAGCCAAGGATACAGTGAAGACCCAGTTTATAAGCACCATGGGGCCTAAGGTTCCCCAGTCACTACCATTATGCTAATGGCGAACCCTTTCCGAACACACTTACACGTACCCTATAGTACCACAAGACCCCATGGATGTGGGGTGGCATGCAAGTTACAGCCTCTTTTCCTTCCTCTCTCTAATGGGAGCTGAAGACAACTTGGGCTACTTTAATCAGGTCTGAGTCCAATGTGGCCAGTCTAGTCTGATGGGGGCTGAGTGGTGCATGGACCATGTTAAGGGTTCACTGCTCACTGATGAAACGGCTTCACTTCCAGGGCGAGCTCAGGCAGACCACACTCTTACTCAATCTGGCAGGAGGAGCACATATGCCCTGTTTTGTTTTCCTTTAGTACTCCACGTTTGTAAGAAACGTTTCGGCATTGTGTTGATATAGTGTAGTGGGCAGCACATTTGGCAAAGCCCCAGATATTCTCTTGTTGCACTTTGACTAGACAAGAGCAAACACAACTGCTACTACTTTTCCCTGGGCATTTGAGGATTAAAAAAAATAAATCATTGACGACTGATTCAGCCAGTCTCCTTAGAATGATTTTTGAACCTTGACCTTGTCAAGACAAGCACATCCTCTATACATTTGAGCCCTTATGCCACTGACAAATTTGCATTTCCAGCCATACAACTCAGTGGAACCGTTAAGTGAAGTTTGTTTTTCTCAATCAATAGATTTAACAAATATCAATATTTATGAAGTTCATGGGCCAGTGCAGCAAAGCTGAATCACTTGCAGGTCCCACCAAGCAGGTACCCACAACAAACAAACAAACACAAAAAACATGCACATGTTTTCACCCCCCACACACCCAAAGTCTCAGCACAGAGACCTTACAAGCTGGGCCTTTTCAAACACACATGCACATTTGCAGAATAGATAAAATCCCCGTTAAATAATAAATGCAAATCTGGTGTATGTTGTGAATATTGTTCGGCTGAAGGGTCGGATCGCGTGCCACTGACTGGCCTTCACCGCACTCTCCGTCTCTCTCTTTCTCATACACGCACAAAACCATAAGCACACCTCATTCCAAATTGCAACAGAGGCTGGTGTGCACCAAGGGAGGAAGTATAAATTATTCAATTGAAATATTTTTCCAAAAGGTCCATTCCCATCTGATCGTGATTCCCAAGGCAGGCGTCCAAATCACTGGCAGATGTATGAAAAACATAAGGATTTTTTTGCATTCTACTAATAGGTTCAGGACATCCAATAAGCCTGTTGTTTGCATTTAGTTTACTCAATCTGCAAATATTCATTGTGATCCGCTAATGGAAGTAAATATTAAATGACCCAGTTCGGTTTTTCAGAGTTCAGAGTTTTTTCTCTACACGAGTTCTTTTCAACATTGACTTTTCTCTGATCTTTAGTACCGAGCATTATTTAAGACTTGGGGAAGCAGATATACGACCAGGCATGAAATACAAACAAACATATAAGCAAATACACAAACAGGCCCTGAGGACTGGGTCTCTGTCTAATTCATTCTGCATTGCACAATTCTTTCTTTCCCTCCCTTTTTCTTTCTCTCTCAATAAGACGGTTTGGTGCCTCTGAGGAAAAGTCCTCATTTTAATTAGACCTGACCTGAGAATCACTTAACTGCTCCTCTCCGTTTATGCCCCCCCCCCCTCCTCTCCAAGCCTTCGCTCTGTTCCTCGCATAGGTCCATTAACACCCTTCCCTCGGCACCCACAGGCTTCAACAGGGAGCAGACACAGGCGTTGTCTTAAAGACGTTTTGAGGACATGCCAAGAAACATTAACCTACTCTATACACCTCCCTCGGACTCTTTCAGTTCGGCTTCCTCTTCTCTTTAAGTCTTCAGCACCATCATCCTCTTCATCCCCCTTTTCTGCTCCCTCATTGCTTCCACTCAGCTTAAAACTATACTCAGCTGGCTAATGTCATGTTCATGTCATGTGGGATGGAAGGTCATTGGATAATCTGAGACGTTTGTATGACCGTAGAATTTGTCTTCTGAAAGATAAAAATACACTACATTGTCAACCTAGCACCGTATCCATTAAATTAGCATTTATTTACCTTTAACGCCGGACTTTGGCTGACATGACGCATCTGTGTTTGTTTGCTATTTTGGATGTTAAGACCAAAGCCTGCATTAAAATAGACCGGGGGCTGTGTTGGCGGGCATATGCTGTTTCAGGTTGTGGTGAGATAATGACATAAAATTCATAAAAAGTCCAATCTGAGTAGAACACGACTTTCAAGGCCTATCAGAGGCCAAAACACTGCACAGCAGTTTCTAATACTCTGAGACAGGTTTTTTTACACAATGGGCAATTATTTTGTCTTTTATTGCGGCGATTAACAAAATATCCCGATTACTACAGAGAATTACAAGAATCTACAATAATCAATGTGACTTAAGGCACAACAAGATTTTGGGTAGGAATCTGGCCTCGGACCATCCTCGCGTGTTATCCTCCTCACTCCCATCTTTCTTTTACTGACTCTCTCCGATTATTACTTAAAAATGACAACATAAAAAAAAAAACATTAACATAAAATTGAAAGTTCCCAAGACTACAAAGATTAGCTTGTAGCAAATACCTGCACACAGCCTACATAGCCATCCAAGTGACAGAGCCAGTCGGGGACACCTCTAAATAGCCTGACTAGGAGAAGACTAATTTGACACAAATCCCCGTCTTATACTGTATTTGACCCTGTGACCTGCCTCTGGCACCCCAGAACCCCACGGGCACATAGCCTGTCAGTTTAAAGGGTCAAACAAAGGTAAGGAAAATGTAATTGCGTACCATCTACATTCTTCAGAGCTTCATCCTCAAAGCATCTTGCATTGTGAAAGTATAGTGAAAGAAGCCTGTGACGGCTGAATATGAGTGAGAAAATTCTGACACACATTGCGTGTCACCTTCGTGCATGCGTTTCTCAATAAGTATGTGCTTGTGTCATTGCATGAATGTCAATATGTGTGTGGGGCTAGGCAATGTTTGAGTATGTGTTAATCTGGTCTAAACACCTAACACTCCCCTACCTGCTCAGACAGGGCCATGGGTTAATTCTGGCTTCAGGCGTCATGGCTAATAACTGTTCATCAACCGCAGTTTGAACTCTTGGAGACGTCAAACGTTTTCACCAAGATAACCTCGATGATGGTGCTGAGTGCGGGGCTGCGAATGAATGTAGGCTACTAAGACCTAATAAATTAGGAAAAATAAATTATTAATTATAACCGAACACAAAAACATGTCTCTATTGACAAAACCTGTACTCTGTGTGCTGGAGTCCCTGAGGCGCTGGGTGATAGACGTGTGAGTCAACCAACAGTTAGGAAATTAGTTACCAGCATGACTCCATGCACAGTTGGGGTGACATGTATCTGCCTGACCCAACTGGTGAGAAGCTAGCGCTGTCAATAACTGTCATACACCACCATATCACATACTAATCCAGATGAAACAGAGTGAGGCGGAATTCGCTGCCTTTAAAAATGTAGAAAAGGAGTCAAAAGTTGAAGGAAAAGTATAGTAGCAGGAGCAGTGCTCTATCATTACTGCGATAGACGTGTGGAAGAAAACAGACTGTGAGCACAAAACTTGGGAAGAGAATGCTGTTATATGTGGCCCCAGGCAGAGGAGTCCTGTAGCTTGAGTAAATGAGGTGATTAGCAGGGGTGGTGTGAGCTGTCACACATCAGACACTGGGCTTAGAATCCAATCACCATCCCATGTGTCAATCAGTGGCCCACCGAGGCAGTTGATCAACAGGTCAAACAAAGTATACGATGAGCCACATAGTCAGAGCACAGCGCCAGTCCTGCATGCAAAGATACACACGCAGGTATACTGATCTTAACCAACCTCTGCAACGAGGGACGCAGAGCCAACATGCACTCATGCCTTTGTGACATCTCTATCTCAGGTGATGTACACGTTAATGACAGCCAATCAAAGTGCCAGAGAATCCAACACTAGAACACAAAAGCGTATTACAATGTGTGTTTTGATTGATTTGATGCATGACTGGTGACGATACAATGTTCTCTGGGAAATTCCCTGACACATACAAATGTGTGATGGCCAAGGATAGTGATTGACATTTCATATTAGATGCGTTCTTGTGTCAACAATCGCAGCCATTTTAGAATTTTGATCCCTCTTTGGATATCGCTCTTTTAACACTATGTGTGTTAAGGGCAATACAAGAGTATGGCTACCATTCAACAAGAAAAAAACTCCAATAAAGCTCCTTAAACAAGGAAGGCAGACAAAGCGTGGACTTTACAATGTGCTGCTGGGATATATGACACAGTATCCAGGCCCCACAGAGCTACAATAATGCTCTAGGCCTCTGCCCCCTGGCCTGCCCAATACAGAGGCCTAATTAAAAGACCATTGAGGATAACCACCTTGACTTTTACGGACCATATAAATCTATACTGGAGTGGCCTATTCAGGGGGTCAGAGAAAGGAGGGGGAGCGGGCTAATGCAGACAGGAGAAAGGGTGAGAAGGATGGTGAAGGCTGGCAGAAAAAGAGAAGGGGTTGACTGTAGGATGTGGAGAAGATTTGGGTGGGTGGGTGGGGAGGGGGGGGAGGCATTCCTCTCCTCCCCCTCACCTCCTGCCTGAGACAATAGGACTCACTAACAGCCAGGGACCAGAGGGTGTGATAAGGTAATGATAATGTAATGAGGACCAATCATGAGCCTGAGCTAAGAGGAGGGCCCCTTAATTTGTCTCCCGAGTGGTAGTTCACCGACAGATTGATTGCTCTGAGTGAGAGTGATGATGTGACACATGCAAAATGGATGCGTCTCTGACAGGAAGAGAAAGAGAAGAAGAAATCATGGATCAAAATTAGTGAAGAAATGGAAAGGCCATACAATCCTGTGCTGTGTTTATGCCCTATACTCCATACCGGCAGAGCGAACATAGCTACCGAAATTGACAGTTCACAAATACAGGGAATTGAGCAGAAAAGCCAGCAAGCTGAGGTGCTGAGTGACCCGTATTAAACTGTGTGGAAAATGTGAAATGGCGCTACTTGCGGACCCTCTCAAGCCTGGGATTTTCCGAGGCATATTTGAAACAATGTGCGAGGGCAACTCACAGCTCCGGAGGCACTATGATGCGAGGCCAGTTTTCAAAGGATCCTCTAGCACGATTCAGAACAAGCTGGTGAACTGCATGTACCAGGTGTATAGGGAGTAAGTTGCTGTGCAAGTAGCTGAGACATTCTTTGTTGCTGTGAACATACCAGCTGGTACATATTGCCAAATAGTACGGTGAGAAAAGGTTTTTAGAGACTGTGGAAGTTAGGGATGAAACTATTGCTGTAAGCCTGTCTAACACCATCAAAAGTGCAGTGGAGACACTCAAGTTAGGGGACAATTTGACTGCATGAACATACGAACGTGTCACCGTGATGAGCGGGAATGTCCGAAGCATACAGACCTTGATGAAGGAAACCTATCCAAATGGCCATTTTGAGCACTGCTATGCACACCAGCTCAATCTCACTCAATCTCACTCTGTCAGGAGTGTTGAGGGTGTCTATTTTGCACCTTCGCCACCTTCTTCTCAGCGGTCTCCAAAACGAGTTTCAGCCCTCACAGAGGCAACATGAAGGCCATCAGCTGTCATTGATGTAGCTGGAGTCAGCAGTGCTCTTGTTCAGTTCAAAGGGAATATACAAGACTGCAAATATGACACAGCAAATCGAAAGATTGGCCACGTCATCTCAAGCATTATGTAAAAGTGTGTAATTTTCTGATCATGCATCTGTCCAGAGTAGTTTTTTTGTCATGGATGGCTGGGGACATGTCCATGCATTAATATCTTGACCAATGATTACTTCATACTTCTTCAGTTTATACAAACGTTAACTATACCTTTAACTTAAACTCCCCCAGTATTTTTCATTGCATAATCATGAATACAGAAAGAGATTTTTTTTTCTCACTCTGTTGCCTCTGGAGTAAGTGTGGGAGCAACAGTCAATAGCTCCACCTTTGATTTTGACACCCAATAGTAGAAACAGGCTGGCAGAACTAACGTGAGAGACTTCTCATTATCATCAGCACTTAATTTCAGCACCGCTACAAACATGATGAATGGGAACAAATGTAATGGGTTTCTCAATAAAGAATTACTAATCTAAATTCAGCTCTTGTTTTAGGATAATGGTTGCATGGCAAGTTACAAAAACACATTAGAGGTATAAAATTGGGCCAACAAAATAAAAATAAAAATCAGATTTTGACAAGAGGGTTGAACCCTTAACAGTATGTTTTGTTTATAAAGACACTCTGGCTATGCTGAGTAACCTTAACAACTTACCTCAATACTGAACTGTTTTCTCTTGAGCTTAAAGGCCAGGTCCTTGTGGTCGGGGAGTTTACTCGCTAGACAGTTCAGGTGAGGTACTTGGCGTACATGCAGCAGACCTGTAGAGGACAGTGACAGCAGATTAGACTGGGCTGAACAGTGCATAAAACCTGGAGTAAAGGTACAAGATATTCCAGTGTGCATATCCAAAATGTACATGTTTTACATTAAACTGTGCCTGAGACAAAGTTGGGTGCTTCATTATGTAAAGTGTAAAAACTAGTACAAGTGAGGATCAGGGTTCTTTATTTCTCCGTCCAAAGTTTTCTTACGCAGACTTCATACATGGAGGATTCGCTTGTTACTTTACACATGACAGGCAATATCTCATATGACTGCTAAAAAGAATCCTAATATTTGTACATTTCAAATAACTTTTGTGACATCTGAAGGGAGCCGTGTTTCTCTTCTTGATACCTACAAAAAGTTGTTTCATTTTGAATTTTTTCATTTAAAACAAGCGTGACAGTCAGGATCTTAAAATTACGTTTTCCAGAATCCACCTGCTGATTCTAAATTGCTAGATTCTGACGGTTTATAAAATGTTGGGCAAAAATCAATGTTTGAATGTAGTAGGACAGACATTGGTGTTTTTCAGACTCCTACATCAGCATCATAGTTAGAATAAGTGGACTCTGCTGACCAGAAACCAGAAACATGGTGGCATTGCAGTGACATAAAAATGTATCACTGGTGGTGTAAGACAAAACCACCAAAAAATAAAATACTTATCAGATATCTACAAACATTTCAATGTCGCCATTCCTACTCTCATATTTTTTCTCTACAGGCCGGAGCATGGCTGTACTGTAGAGGGAAATTTGCCAATTAAAGGACACATTAGAGCAATGAGGGACAGACAGCGAACATACAAGCTAGGGATTCCTGCAACGGATAGAGGGAAGCTGTGGAGAATTATTTTACCCTTTGTTTCTCTTTTCCTATCACCACAAAGTTTCATTTTCATAAAACTGGAAAGTACTGTAGAAGTGGGTATGGTTAAATGAGCGTGAGAGAGAGAGAAGAAGAGATCGAGGGAGTAATGGAGAAAGGGAGACAGACAGAGAAAGTGGGGGATGGTGGGTTCTCTCCTCTGTGCACTTGGGTGATTTCCTCTTGCCTGATTTGCAGTGACAGGCTTCCCAGCATGCTTTGAGCAGCCCTGAACTGCTGCCGCAAACACGCACGCACACGCATCCGCATGCACTCTCACACTCGCACCAGATGTGTTTGCACTCATGAACACACATCAAAACAATCATGCACATAAATGTATTTCATAACCCAACCATAATTTCTCTGGCTGGTTAAACAGATGGCAAATACATTCTCGAACAAGAAATTCAAATAGTATTAATTGCAAATTCCAAAGAACATTTTTGTACTAGAACAATAGTTTAAAATAATGATGCACTACAACGTGCATATGTTGAATGGGTTTACAAGCCACCTGCCTTTACAAAGTAGAGGAATGTGATCACTATTGGATGTGTTATCTAAATAAAACATGCTGTTAGATGAAACCAAAATCTGCCATTGAATGTTTTTATTCCTCATCCCCTTCATCTGTCACAACCGCGGCTGTCTAACCCGGGGATGGGAGGGAGGGGGGAAATGAGAGGAAAAGCGCAAGAGTGAGTCGGAGAGTTCGAGAGGCACGGCTAAAAATACTCCACTCGCTTAAACTGACCTTTATTCGCGAAGAGTGCAATAAAAAAGGGGGAAGCAAACAGGAGAAAGAAGGAATGATAAAACCTTGAAGAAAAAGTGATCGTGAGGACCGAGACGGCAGAGAAAAACTATGTTGCCCCATTTCTTTCTTCGTTTCCATCTCTCAAATCGTCCCATACCAGTGTCCTCTTACCCTACTGAAAGCCTTGCCCTCCATTTATTAGCAGAGCATGCTGGCCATGGAGACATTGAGTGAGGGATGGAGAGATACAGGCAGAGAGGAAGAGAGAGTGATGGTGAGAATATCGATTCCCCAGTGTTGGTCTGCTCTGCTCCAGAGCCTCAGGGGTATGGGACTGGGGATGGAGAGGGGGCGAGGCGAGAGGGAGAGAGAGGCTCTGCTGGAGGGGGGGGGGGATGGAGGGCGTGAGGGTGCGAGGGAGAGGGGGTACAGCGTGGCAGCTGAATCCCCCCCGGCCTGTCTACTGAGGAGCACGTCTGATTGAGCAGCAGCACACTAACACGCACTGACAGCCGGGCCTGCAAGGGGGCTGCCCTGCCTCCATCCACAGCCCAGCCTTAATGCACTGCTTGTGTGTATGTGTGTGTGTTTTTGATGGAAAAGAGGCAGAAAGATAAGCGAGTGTGTGTTCTTACCATGGTAATCTTTGTAGAGTGGGTTGGTCTCTCTCTCAGAGCCTTTGAATGATTCCAGGGCTATGGCATTGTCACATAGCCTGGTTATGCTGCCCATTAGAGCTCTGTCCTGTAGGGTCGAGAGAGGGAGGGAGAGGAGAGAGACACACAGAGAGAGAAACATGAGCAGGTAATTAAAAGCCACCTGACGAGCCATCAGTGTTGCAATTAAATTAGGTCAACATGTCCCGTGGCCAGGTCATTTCTGCCCATGGCTTAGGTGAGGGTGATGAGGTATAGAGGGGAAAGAGCCCCGATAGAGGTTACGCAGGTGATGTTGGGGCAGGCAAGTGGACATACACCTTACATCGGCATACATATACAAAAGTGACTCGGGGGAAAAGTCAATCGAAACACACTGAAATTATCTTTACTTCATCAAACAACAATTTTCACGAGAAAGTTCACAGTTGGTGCACATTCTCAAACCTGCACAAGGCAGGGGAGGATAGAGAGAGAGAGCAGCAGAGGCTTGATGGGGAGAGCTCCCCCTACTGGTTAGGTCAGTGACTTGACAACAAAGAGGACACATCAGGGGGCGAATACAGTAGATAGAAAGACTGAAGAAGAAATATACAAAAGGGTGGAGGCAGAGGGTGAAGAGAAAAGAGGGGAGCGAGAGGGACACTGGGATGGAGGGAAAGAGGGAGTGCTGCATTATTAATCCCTTTGCCTCTTGAATCATTCACATCCTTCTCTCTGTGTTGGCTGCCACCGCCTAATGCAGTTTTCATGCCTTCATGTCTTTTCCCCCACTCTTTCTTCTTCCTTTTCATTTTTGTCCTACTTTTAAAAAGTATGCATATCCCACCAGTCAGGACCGCCAGCACTTACAGGGTATCTGAGGTCTCTCAAATGACGCAGTAAAGCCAACGTAAGAGTTTGGCTATGACAAAATATTCACAACACTTATGGCACAGTATGGCCAATAGTGTCAGTACGAGAGAGAGGATCTGCTAAACAATGTGTTAATTCATCTAGGCCACAATACTTATTCTGTGCTTACTGAAATACAAAGATGAGGCTCCTTGGCAAAGACTCAAAAGTTTCAAAGTCAGAGGAATTCAAAGTGTCGAAACAGAACGGCTCAGTTCAGTGGCAGAAGGGCAGAATGACGTCAGTGAGGCATGCAAGTGCTCCACAGCTCCTTGAGTTTTAGGAGGTTACATCTTTTTTTTTTTTTATCTTATTTATAATTGATAAGGGACTAAAGCAAGAGTTACTTCAGTTCTGCAATGAAAGTCTATGCCGGCTCAATTAGCTCAGATTCCATCAGTGTAAATCCTCGGAACACTCTGAGCCTCAGCTGACCATCCCTGACGAGTGATAGGAAGAGCCTCACGTTCGTTTACTCTGCAGTATCTTAACTTGACCGGGTAAACCACAGTCCCTTCATGGAACTAGTTTCTGATGAACAGCTCTCTGTACTTGTGTTGGCTTGTCTGAAAATGTGTGTATGGTGTGTGCAGAATCTACCCCAAATACAATACATCACTCTGAGGGAGGAAGATGCTTCTCCGTCTGCCTAAAGTCTTGGGAGAGTAGAGTCTATACATATATATGAGACTAAATAAATACACGTCAATTCCAAGGGTAGAAATGGAAGGAGGACTTTCTTCAAAAATGTGATTTCAACTGGGGACATGGACACAGTGTCTCCATTAAGAAAAATCGAACAGATATGAGAGTTGTAGTTATTATGATGATTATATGAGATTGTAATACATTATATATGATGGGATCACATAAGCCTCAACGCCACATTGAGCTAGGGGCGTAAAGTGGGGTGGCCGATGGCCTCTTCCTACCCTCTTACTTTAGCACCCTTGATTGGACCACACCCATCTTCAAACTCTATCTTCATTTTAATCTTCATTTAAACTGCATTTTGCACAGTTGTGTCGCATCGCATTGACAAAATCTGTCCACAGGCATTTGTCATGATGACACACCCACACACACACACACACACACACACACACACACACACACACACACAC